CACACACACACACACACACACACACACACACACACACACAGAATCCCAACATCTCCAAGCAAAGACAAACTTGAAACTTGAATTGCCCAGGCTGGTTATGTACACAGGTGTGCACAGATGTGCAAACTGCCACCACCACTGGGAAAGCACTCAGGTGACTCAGAGGACACCCCTTCGAGCTTGGACAGGAGATAGGGACCATCCTGACTGGCGGAGTGTAGCTTTGACAGGACCCCTAACGTGGAGCTCGCTTCCAAGAGGAGACAGTTCTCAGGACCCTCCCTGCCTCGAAGAGAGGGGATCTGGTGGTGAAGGGCTCATCCATCTCCGGGATTCCCCATCAGTCTTGCCACCTGGTCGGCAGAGTCCAGCAGATTGTGGACAGCGTGGGACCAGCCAGGGGCAGCGTGGGACCGGTGAGGGGCCCCTTACCTCCAGGCTGCGCGGGATGGAGGAGGTTGAGCAAGAGGATCAGCAAGACGCCAGGCTGCGGGACTGCCGCTGTCAGACCCGCCATCTCGGGGAGGACTGCCCCAGCCTGCTCTCTGCGCCTCGTTTTATCCCCAAAGCGTAATTGCTGCCTGGTAGGCTGCTGTGAGGGAAGAAGGGAGGGAGAGAGGGCGGGTGGGAGGAGGGCGGGAGGAGGGGGAGCTGGGGGAGGGGGCCGCGGGGGAGGGGGCAATTACGAAAGGCCAGGCTTGCAAGTCTCCTAGGCTGAATCTGCCTGGACCATGGGTCTATTTTCCTGCACACACACACACACACACACACACACATACACACACACACTGACGCGCGCGTGCACTGCTTTCCCCCCCATCGCTTTCCCGCTTTCCCTCTGTAGCTGTTTGCTTGCTCCTGGCCCTGTTCCCGCCAGAAAGTGCGAGGGGGACTTTGCCAGGACAGCCCTCTGGAGAGGAAGCGGGAGGGAGGGCCCAGGCAGCCCAGCCAAAAAATCCCAGCCCTAGCCAAGGCTGGAGTAGCCAGGCCCCCGCCCCTCTGCCTGGGCCCCAGGCCCAGTGTGGGGACACAGGCCAGCTGTCCCGCGCCTCAGCTCCCACCCTGGCCCTGCAGACACCCCGACACCCCCAAGCCTGGCTAGAGACAGACTTTACCCAAAAAGTAGATTGGGTAGGTTGATGGGGCTAACAGAGTCTGCCTATAGAGTTCAAGGTCTGCAGAATTGTCTGGGAGAGAAAATCGGATGGGCATAGCACCATAGGGCATTTTAGGGACAGACGAGAGACCTTGACATACGATCTAGTTCATCGTGGTTGAGACAAGGTCTTAGCCATCTGTTTGAAAGGGTGTTGGATAAGTCTAGGGTCTATGGTTGCACAGACCAAGAGGCTGAGGTCAGGCGAGTGGCTTGGGAGGGAAAGCCATGTATTTAGTGTCTCCCTAGGGTTCAAAGATGATCCTTGCATAAGGTATTGGTTGATTCTGTACGGGCCATGGGCACAGTTTTGCACCACCCCGAGCAAACCACAGTGTCCAACAGAGGTCATACTGGGTCCTAGGTGCCTGTAAGGGAGCACGGAGGTGGGAGCCCTGTGCAGATGACTTTTAATCATTTTTCTAGTTCTTGTTTGTTCACCACCTGTCCAGTGCAGTCGCCTGCATCTGGAAACTGATTCTCTTGGCGGCTCTGGGAAGCCTTGAAGATGCTATTCCTCTGCTTGCCAGAAGGGGGCAGCCTTTGCTGAAACAGCAGAGACAACCCTCCAGGAAAGCTCGCAATCAGTGTGCTGGCCACCCTGTCGCTGAGCATATGGGGACCCTGGGAGGCTTTAGGGAATGTGAGGGTGTGGGCAAGGGGAAAGATTATGTCATTCTCAGACTCCTGCATGTATATGGAGTACTGGAGAACAAGAGACGGAGATGGTTGGTTGCTGTATACAGGTCATAGTTGGTTAGAAGAAAAAGTCCAGGTCCTAGAGTTTTTCTCTTGCAGGAGGTGGTGCAGAGGGGTGAGTTAAAGATACCTTTTCCAGCTCAGGGCATAGAGGAGTCTGCAAAGCTGACAGAGTTCGCGGGGGTGGGGCGGGGGATCAAAAGCAGGTGCTTACGTGGATCTGAGGCTAATTTTTGGGTTCCTTGTCACCGCTGCTGCTTCTTCTTTTTCTGCTTCCTCTTCTTCCTCTTCCTCTCCCTCTCCTTCTCCCCCTCCTCTTCCTCCTCTTCCTTCTTCTTTTTCTTCTTCTTCCTCCTCCTCCTCTTCCTCCTCCTCTTCTTCCTGTTTTCTTCCTCCCTCTTCCTCCTCCTTCTTTCTCTCTCCTTCCCATCCTCCTTTGTTTCCTCTTTCCTTCCATTTCTTCTCCCATAATTCCTTCTACTCTTTCCTTCTCCCCCTTCCTATGTCTTCCTTCTTCCCCCTTCCTTCCTTCCTTCCTTCCTTCCTTCCTTCCTTCCTTCCTTCTTTCCTTCCTCCTTCTGTCTCCTTTCCTCTCCCTTCCTCTTCTTTCTTCTTTCCTCCCTCCCTCCTTTCCCTCTCTTCCTCCCTTCCTTCCTAGATGCCTATAGCCTCCCAATATAACCCAGGCTGGCCTTGAACTCCAGATCCTCCTGACTCGACCTCCTGAGTATTGGGATGATAATTGTGTACCTCTGTAGCTAGCTAGTTCCAGCACTTTCTGCTGTCTGGGATGGCTTCTCTGTAGAGTTCGCCTATCTCATCTGTTAGCTGATGTCAAGTATCCTTAACTAGGATAGTTCTGTATCCATTTGGTACCAACAGTACCATGACCGAAGCTAGGTCTACAATTCCTGCCCCTGTTTGTGGTGTAGCTGTCTGGCTCAACTGTGTTAGTCGGAGATCTTAGACAATCTCCCCCTTTCCCATGATCTACTGCTCAAGGCATCACCAGAATTTTGGGAAAGGGAGACATGATATGAAGATCATCTCACAGCTTGGCATGGCACTTGGGTGGCTGGAGCAGGAGGTCACAGCATTTAGTTTCATTGTGTGTGCACGTGGCATGGCATGCCTGCAGGGATCAGAAGACAACTTGCAGAAACAGGTTCACTGCTTCCACCAAGTAGGTCCTGGGACTTGAACTCAGGTCATCAGGCTATTCAGGAAGCTTCCTTTACTCCCTGAACCATTTTAATGACCAGAGGAGAGAGTTTGATACCAGCCTGAGCTATATAGCAAGTTGCAGGTTAGCCTGGGCTCCTTTGTAATACCCGATCTTAAAAAGCAAAGAGGTGGCTGTATGGGTACATCCTGGAATCTCAGATCTTGGGAGGCAGAGGCAGCAGGACCAGACGTCCAGAGTCATCTATGTTATGTAGTGACTCTGAGGCCAGCCTGGGCTACATGAGACCCTTAAAAAAACCCTAAAAATAAAAAAAAGAACCAAAACATGAGTGAGAAACTAAGAGAGAGAGAGAAGGAGAGAGAGAGAGAGAGAGCACAAACCATGTAGAAACAAAGCATATATGCAGATCTTATGTAGTGTGTTAAGTTTGGGGATGCCCTGGGTGCACAGATTACAAGATCCTAAAGTCCCCAGCCCAGCCCTTGATGGGGACAGGGACCAGGCCATGGGCATGATGAGGCTCCAAGTCCTGGGTGGAGCAGAGCAGGGGTTCTGGTGGGGAGCTGGGCCCCACTCCTCTCGGAGCAGTGACGAGGGCAGGAACTGGCTCGCAGACTTGCAAACCACAGTCTGCTTGGAGCTTTATTAATTCCAGGACTGGGAAAGAGGCTGGAGCCAGCAGGAGAGGTTTACTGTGGGGATTCAGGAGAGGTATAGAGGGAGGAATTACTAGAATAGGCTTCAGCCTGCTGGGCCAGGGCCCTGCTTCGTGCCCCAGCTTTTGTCCTCTTGAACTCAGTGTGTTAGCTTGCCCCACATGTGCTACAGAGGCTCCGTGTACCTGCGACGGGTACACGGCCCCGGATTCTCTGCACGGCTTATCCATGTAAGTTAGCACCGCACATGCACGGATAAAGCAAAGGCGAGGGATGCCAGTCATGGACTGACATCCATTCATTAGCCAGTTGCTCGAACATTCCAAAAATTCAGCCATCCTCAAGTGCTGGGTGCCACCTCTCTGGATAGCAGACAGAAGAAATGAGCTCATTTACGAAACTACTCTCCAAGCATGGCTGGGCGCCCTTGACCAAGATCATTGACAAACTCTGATGTCCGCTGCGTCCCCAGCTCGCTGTAGACGGAGGGGCACCGGGAGAGTCATTTGGGCAAAGTCTATGATGGGATCCTGCTCCTTCGGTGCTCTAGCTGGAGAGACAGGGTGTACAGGTTCCGTGTGGCTCTGAGAACATCCGTGATTTGTACAGAGACCCTCAGTAGCCATTCAGATAATTTTTAGCAGTTTCATTCTGTTTCTTTCTTCTATAGTACTGGGGATAACATCTGGGGAATAGCATTGGTTAGACAGACATTCTATCACTGAGCCACGCCCCCCAGCCCCTCACTGGGGGATTCTAGGCAGGGGCTCTACCACTGAGCCACGCCTCCAGCCCCTCACTGGGGGGTTCTAGGCAGGGGCTCTACCACTGAGCCACGCCCCCAGCCCCTCACTGGGGAATTCTAGGCAGGGGCTCTACCACTGAGCCACGCCCCCAGCCCCTCACTGGGGGATTCTAGGCAGGGGCTCTACCACTGAGCCACGCCCCCAGCCCCTCACTGGGGGACTCTAGGCAGGGGTTCTACCACTGAGCTACACCCCCATCCCTCACTGGGGGACTCTAGGCAGGAGCTCTACCACTGAGCCACGCCCCCAGCCCCTCACTGGGGGATTCTAGGCAGGTACTCTACCACAGAGCCACGCCCCCAGCCCCTCACTGGGGGATTCTAGGC